ATATATATATATACATATATATATATATATATATATATATATATATATATATATATATGCGTCTCTCGTCTTCAGCCCATTTTTAGTACCTGACGGAGTTAATTCAGAAAGGTTACACGCGCAGTAATAACAAGAACATAATCTTCATGCTAATAATGCGCCAGAGACGTCCTTATGCCGTCAGTGCAGCTCAAGCAGACTGAACTTCCTCGAGTCGTCGCTCATCATTTCCCCCCACGTGCGCTTCACAATTACGCATGTGCCGCCTGCAGCTGATCACCAAACAGCGAAAAAACAAACCTGGACTGCCTCTTCTTCACCGTTCCCGCTTGTCATTCCCTTTAGGGACAACCCTTTGGTTTTCCCCGGAAGTCTCTTCCCAAACCCCTTCTGCCTTCTGTTCAGCATCCATATCGGGACTTAACGGATAACGGCCAACCGCCATACTTCCATGATCTGCCACGTGTTCTCCACAGTGAGGCAACCCAACTACCTCCCTGTCGCGATCACCCACAGAAAACCCAACCTAGCCTGTGTTTGGCGGAATTCTGTAAAAAAAACTAACTAGCGACCCTTATCATCGGACGAGCTAGCTATCGGCGCAGAGAGCTGAAATAGCATCTCCCAATTTGATGTAGTCCTGGAGCTCGTTATAGATGTGCGCGGAGATTCGTACCCACAGGCTTCCGAGCGCCGCCACCACAGGCACCTGCGTGCGAGTCATACCAGTCGTAAAACTCGTACTGTACTGCAGTCGTACCACGTCAGCGGTACGCAACACAGCTTCAGTCGTACAGTCGACAGAGACCACGCGACGTGGTGGCAAACGGACCAACCCTGAACACAACATGGCTCATGTTGCATTTCATGAGCCTGAGGTTCGCGCAGGAAGGCCGCATCGTCAAATGTATCATGTCTCGCCATATAATTGCAACGGAGCATACGCAGGAGCGTAGACAGTAGCAGTAGCAGTAGCAGCAACATGAGCAGTTAATGCCTGTAGCGAAAAAGCGGCAAGAGGACTGTGGCAGCGCTGGACAGTTTTCTTTATGTTTTTTAATTAAATAGATTAAAATAACTATAAGACCCCGATATCCCCCCGGCGAAGGGGGGTTGCGGTCACGGCTGTGCAGATGGAGCAGATGCATGTTGGCCCGCGCGTACGACACCACGCGAGTACGACACCATGCCAAGTACGACACCGCTCTTTTTCTCGTTCCGCCGGTTTCTCTGGTTGCACCTCGGGTGCTGTACCCAGAGGTTACGATGGGGTGATGAAGGGGTTGGGCTAAGGTCTGCCCTCTAAACCTAAGTCTAAGGTGTATTTCGATGATCGAAGCAGCGAGAAGAGGGGAATGCGAGAGGTGTGCGTGTTTTCCGCTTCACTTAACTGCCGTACACCCACCTCGATGTTTTTCTCGTAGCGAAGCCATCGCTGCAACCGTGCTGAGTCCTCCGCCGTACAGCCGTACTCCCGTAGCGGCGGTAGCTGCACCGCCAGCATCCCCGCTACTGCCCCGCAGCCGCCGGGACCACCATCCCCCGAATCGCCCCCACCGCCAATCACCAGTAACTCCCCTCCCCCTCCCCCTCCCCCTCCTCC